AAGTTTGTCAGTTGTCTCATGATGGAGACTTGTTTAAATCTCTGTCCATTCTGGCCTGGTTGGAAGAGAGGGTTTCAGGCAATAATCAATTAATATTTCTGTGTTATTAACAGAGGAATATGGAGAACTTTTGATAACAATCATTTTCAGATTATGTGCACACTTACAGCATTGGATTCATAGGAAGCTGAATTGATTTTGTCTGTTTGTATTACAGTTATTTTTACCTTAAAGATGCATCGTGTAACTTTTCTGGTGGAGGGTCTGTCAAATGCTTTTCTTCATAGAAATGTTATTGCTTTGTCTGGTTTATAGTATAATATTATACGTTTTTATCATGGAGCCTAACCATCCCAACCCCACTCACAGTCAGAATACCAGTTTTTCTAGGTATTTTGGGAGCTATAAAACCACCTTTAATTTAATTAATATAAGTTAGAGAGCTGTTGAATGTCACGCTGTGGAACATTTTAGGCAGAGCAGTAACATATCGTATAGAAACAAGCAGGTGATGAACCCTCAACCAAAAAGTTACACAGTGCAGCTTTAAGCACAAATTTTACTTGATTGATAACTGCATTTTGAAAACAAAATTTTTCTGAGGTATGGTGCTCCACATTTGCTCCAGTGATTGGTCTGATGCCCTTGTCTGAATAGCCTCTTCCATCTCCATCCGTCAGTATGGTAGTGGCCTGTCCCCCCAGCTGCTCCTTTGTCCTCTACAGAGACACACGGCTCCCATTGACCTTCAGCGTCTTCATCTGATAACACACACGCCATAGACAGTGACAGCCCGCCAGCGCCGGCACATCCACTTATTCTGTTAGCCGCTAACAATAAAATGCCCCCCCACTATCAGGCGTCTCTGGTCATCACTAAAAGACCTGCATTTATCTGATTTTTGTAATGGGCACTAAAATTATCTGACCAATTTAATGCTACAGTTATTGCTAAAATGAGAGCCCTTTCCAAAATGGCACTGGCACATGGTTGATTTTTCATGTATGAGGTATTATGTGATCGTAACAGCTACGAAAAGCTACGGTTCTGAAATAAGGGACAAAAGTGGGTAAGGTTGTATATATTTGGATATTTTAGCATTGTTTGAAAATCAAGCTTCATATCAGCTTTTGCCCCAGCCCAAATTAATGGAAATATATGCAACAGATGTAATGTGAAATGAAAGCAAGTGCATTTGGTTTTCTTTCTGGTGAACCTAGAACGCAAAACTCAGTCGTGCAATTGGTGAAACAAAATTTGAAATCCAATTCCAAACAGCTGTTATCATTTTTAATTTTCTTTCTCACTCAGCCTCATTACCATGTACAGTTTAGAGTGAATTTCTTACTAAAGGACATAGTGAGTGAGCAGAAATTGAACTATGAACCAGAGTTGTAGTAAAAATAAACTGGGCTATGTTTGGTATAAAAATAAGCGAGGAGTGCTTCTACAGACAGACCATGGCTTTCCAGTAATGTACCACTTTATAACAACTTCTCCTTAATTTGCCATAATAAATGATTAAGCTTAGTAAATATTTAAAGGTGCATTACGCAGCTTTTCTGGTGGAGGGTTTGTCACCTGATTGTCTTTATGGAGATGTTATTGCTTTGTCTAGATTAGAATGATCCATGATAAAGATGAAACCTATGTATCTCAAGGGAGACAACTAGGCTACATTACAGGTCAGATCTCTGGAGTGGCAACCCTGTTCACTGAGAGAATTACTGTATTTTTGAGCAATAGAAACACTTCCATGGAGACAAGTAGGTGACAGATCCTCCACCAAAAAAGTTGTACATTGCTCTTTTAAGTAATCACCAAACCTCTTACTAAGTAGTTATTAAGCCTGAATCATCCAATAATTCAATAATAATTCAAAATGAAGTCTTAATTCATGCTTTATTAACCCCTTGCCTGGTGTCTCTTAGTCTTATTTTCAACCAACCCATCATCAGTACAACTAGCATGGTAAATTAATTTGAGCATTTTTGTTACGTTGTTAATTGGGGTTGTTGTGAATCATTTTATATCATTACTTTCCCATGGAACAGGTTTGAGTGGAAGCTGTAGCTCGTGGAAAAAAATAAAACTTCCCATTTGTTTTTTTTTTCTTAAATTTTCGGGTTGGTCACAAATACGCAACACCAGGCCATAAAGGACTGAATGAGGATATAATGTACTCCAATGGGCTTCAAAAACACAATGTATTTATTTTTATAGTTTAGACTGAATTTGGACCTGATCTTGTTCTACCTTGGGCCAGAGCCAGTTCCGATTTTGACCTGATTTATGGAGGCACAATATCAATCCAAACAGCACAAAACTTTTCCCCAGTATCCCCAAACAAACTCCATACGTACCCAGAAACTATTTGACTTTCCTCTGTGTTTCAAACCGACAGATGTAGCGCTCGTAAACCTTGCAGCGGGACAACTGTTCCTCAAAGACTCCTGCGAATGAAACAGCTGACTATAAAAGTGCGCTGCCCGCCTGTCCTGGACGCCGACCTGTCACATAAATGATCAGTTTACAGTTTACAGGGAGGAGTAATGGGCCTCTTTTTGACAGCTAAAGATGGATGAGTTTATGCTTTATAGGTCTGTGCAGATGGTGAGTTCTGGTTGCCATAGTCTCTGCCAAAGATTAAGTTTAATTTGTTGGAAGACTGGTGGCGTTCACTGAAGGCATGCCAATCTCTACAATATCAGAACAGCAGTATATTTTTGAATGTGGTTAAAGATGGGATAAGAACTTTGATTGAAAGACCTAATTTCCTCAACTCTTGTAAGCCATTGTGCCTAGTTTAACTTTATTATTTATCTAAATGGTATAAAAGCTTTGTCACATGTATGCATTTGGGATATAAGATACATACTTTTACATTCATGTCTTACAATTGTATAGCCCTTTTTAACTTGAGCTAAGCTTGGTCAGGACTTCCTTAGCTAGAGGATTTTATTGATGGAGCATGGTCTGGGTTGAGTTGGGTTTGGAGGAAACCAGACAGCTCAGAGAAAACCCATCTAGACACTAGGAGAAACTGAAAATGCAAACTCCACACAGAAAGTCTCATTAGGCATCAGTGTAAACAGGCCTACATAGTAAAGTGCTCCCAGCTGACCCCAATGTTGTAATGGTTGACAATATTTGACATGGAACATAGTGAGTGTTACGGACAGCTCCAGTGTAAAACTCTACAGACATTAAAACCAGCTGGCCACCTGCTGTCTCGCCTGCCGCGGGAAATTGGGCAGGTGCACTCCGATGCTACATCTCAAATTTATGTGACAGTCACGACCTAAAGCTGCTAATGCTATTATCTGCTGTTAGAAACATATGGTCAAGTTGTTCTAAAGATGATCTAAAACTATGCATGAATAAGGGAACTAATTGTAGACTGTGATCTCCGTTAGAGTTGGCCAAAAGTGAGAGAAAATACTATCAGTTATTTATTTATTTATTTTTTATTGTTTCAGTGTCACTTGAGAAATAATGCTGGTATTTGATAGTAAAATAATAATTACTGTTAAATAGTAATTGTGAAAAAACATAGTTTACAAATGAAAAGCGCTTCAAATGCCTTGAAGGTGGAAAAGAGCTGTATAAAACTGTGACTATTTACCATTTACTTAATGAATGATTGGAAAAAAAAATTTTTGGATGTTATAACAGACTAGACTAGGATTTCAAACATTAAGTGCTGTTAATTATTTTGTTTTCATTTTTTTTCCATAAAATCTTTTCAAAAACTAGAGTAGTTGAATTTACATGTTATTTATTGGTTGCTTCAAATGGTGTGCTGAAATGTGCATTTCAAACAGTTCTACAGGCCATTGCATCTGAACCAAATTCGGTTTTGTTCTTTTAAAGTAAATGTAAGAAAGTGGAGGCTACATGTGCATAATTTGATGTTATAGTAGTAGAGACACATATAGTCATAGTGGATGTACTTTGCCTTTGACTCCTCACAGCTTCACCACAAGGCTGCCGCTCCATCCCAGGACCAAGGAGCTGAGCTAATGGGATTACGTGGGTTTGAAGCTCTCATAAATGAAGTCCCCAGTGTGGAGAGGGGTGCCCCTGCGCTCCCATAACCCTCTTTAAAGCCTGGCCAGGCAGTCAGTCAGAGAGACATGCTAAAGCTGCTACTGCTGCTGCTCTGTCAAAGCTGATGTAACAGAGAAGGCATTTCCCTTTGTAGCATCGCAACAATGAAATGTACATTGATTTTATTATGAAAAAATCAGCCTGCAGAGCTTTCTGTATGGATTACATAATATTTTGTACCAGGCTGGGGAGATATCCCTTGCTTCTGTGTAGTAAATATCTTAAAAATACTTCTAGGTAAAATGTTCCTTTAATGTAATGAAGCACAAGTAAAAGATGCAATTGTTGTATATGAATATGACAACAACAATGTGGTAATGTACAACCAAGATGTTTATTCAAAATGTAACTTGTATTGTCTATGTTAAAGTTGGACAAAACATTTAAACTCTACCCATAACCACATTTTAGATAGCGCTACTAAACTGGGCAGTACACAGAGTATTAAAGTAAAGAGTGACCAATCAGATTCAAATCATCATCATGATGTTCTGTGTTTTCTGATCACTTTCAGTGAGAGCTCTTCCAGATTGATAATGTGTAGAACTTAGTTCAGAGGGACACACTTATCAGTCCGGCATGAGCCAGGTTATGAGATGTCATCAACTACTGGAAATGATGGAGGCCACTGAAGGCAGCTTACATTTAGATTTAGGCGTTTTGACCAGAAAGCTGAAAATTTACCTAGTGTGCACTAAAAATGCCAACAGTTGATAATGCCCTTAAAAAACATACACAGTTTAGTAGCAAAAAAGCAGATTTAGTGTTTAGTTCCACTTTAAGTAAACACAGTATCCCAAAAGATGGTTACAATGTTCATGCTGTAGTTATGTTTTAGTACCTATCATCTGTATATGTTTTTATTCATGTCATGTGATTGTGTGTTACAGAAATGTGAGTTCAGACGGGGCCGAGGCTCGACGTCGGCTGAGGGAGTGTGATGGTTTGGTGGACGCTCTTCTCCACGCTCTGCAGTCAGCTGTGGGCAAGAAAGACATGGATAATAAGGTAATACTTTATGAATGTCCAGCTAATATCTACTGGACCAGAAGGATAGAACTGATACGGTTATGACCAACTCATTTTAATAAAGACTTAAAATAAAAAAATTTATTAAATTAAAATTTGAAATTAAATGAAAAACAAATTACATGATTAAAAAATGTTAGCTTAGTGTTTATCTTCACACTTATAAATAATTCATGTCAGAATCGTAGTCTCCATTAACATATTTTTCTCAATAATCAGTGACCATGTTTTTCTTTAATCAAAACTGTGAGTGATTTTAAAAACAGATGTGATAGACTTGCTAATTATCACCAGAAGATGTACACTGCAGAAATCTCAGTAGTGTCTTTTATTACAGCATGGGCGCTATCAGTGATTTGTCAAAGAAAAAATGACATTCCTTCACTGGCTTTACTTCATAAATCCCCAATTTCTTGATGTTTGAAGGTTATCTTGCCATTGCTTCAGTTCAAATTGACAAAGAAGTTACAGAAGAAGATAAATCAGACCATTTTGGACACGATACAAAATTAATCCTCATTTGACTTTGTTTTAAGTCATGGTTCAGGGTCAGCCGATGAATAATTTTGGACATGAAATTAATGTATTTCTTTCTTGACTTTCATTTTCTTTAGTCTGTGGAGAACTGCGTGTGCATCATGAGAAACCTGTCGTACCATGTGCACAAAGAGGTCCCAGGAGCCGAGAAGTACCAAGACCCCAACGGACTGCAGGCCCCAGGGTCAGCAGGGCCCCAGAGGAAGAAGAAAGATGACGCAGGCTGCTTCGGAGGAAAGAAGGCCAAAGGTGAGGAGGAGAAAAGGGAGAGTTGTGTTTAAGTCCATTGTATATGTTTAAAGTTGCATTGTGTAACTTTTCGGATAGAGGGCCCATCAAATGCTTTATTTTGTGGAGATGTTATTCCTTTGTCTGGAATGTTTTACAGTATGGCATTAAACCTTTCTATCCCATGAAGATAGACCAGATAGACCAGATAGACCAAACCAGACCAAGTTACAGATCAGGTCTGTAGAGAGGTGACCCAGCTCACAGTCAGAATGCCTGTTTAATTAATGTAAAGTAGAGCTGTTTAATGTCATTGTGGAACGTTCCAGGCAGAGCAATGACATATCCAGAGAATCAAGCAGTTGACGGGCCCTTAACCAAAAATTTACACTATACACCTTTAAATGATTTGGAAATATTTGCTTATACAGTATCACTTAGTAGTTGGCTTTTAGTGTACCAGCAAAATCATTCTAAAATGGAGCAGGAGCAGTCTGTGCACTGAAATCATCTGACATAAGAGGAAATGAATTAAAAGAGACAGCAAATTACTAAAGAAGGGTAGTGGATTTTAATTAACAAGCAAGCACATCAAAAACCAAAAAACAACAGGTGTTCTGGGAAACAAATAACAAATTCAGTCTCAAAAGATTTCCAAAATGTCAGCCATCTTGGTAGAGTGCTTTGTCTTTTAATTAAAAGATTCTGATATGAAAATTTATTTTGATAAAAAAGCTAGAATTAAGAGAGGTATAATTATTATTTTTTTCACTTCTATTATGAGTTGAACAGACAAGCCAGCAGTTATTCAGTTTTTTTTTAACAAAGTCTACTTTTATTTAAAGGTCCTATATTACATCAAATTTACTATTGTGAGCTTTAAACCATGTTAGAATGTTGTTACTTTATCTGAAACATACATAGTGGTGTGTTTTGTTTCAGCCACACATTTGAGTAACCCTTTATTCTGTTTATATTTCCAAAGCTCTCTTCCACTTTGTGATAGTTTTGAAGTTAATAGTTCAGTAGAGATGGAAATTTGCTGAAATGATCCAAGTATGGAGTTTAAAAACACAGTGGTTTACCACATGACATCACAAGGTGGAACAGAGTGTCTTGTGTTTGAGAAAAGAACTCAGCCTAAATATGCAGGATTTATGTCTTAAACTTGTGTAAATGATACAAAACAAAACTCCAGATATGTTTATGATGAGGAAACAACATTATAACATAAATCAGAAAATGGCACAATTTAAACAGTATTTAAACAGTATTGAAACAGTCTTTTATTTTAAACCTTCTCTTGAGTATTACTTTGAGTGCATGCATCTACCATAGTCCTTTGCCTTTCCTTTAACTGATGCTATTCTTGTATGTCCTTATCAGCATGCTTCTTGGCATTTAGCTAAACACTATTGTTATCCCCACTCTTAAGTCTTTACAACAACTACAATAATGACCACCATTAATCAGTCAGCCAATGAGGTGTGACCCTGTAACTGGCGACCTTTTGACCCCTGACTGTTCACTGGAGAATCACTATCGCACTTTGGGGTTGGGACATCACTGAAGCATAAATGTATTTAAACAAAAGAGAAAGCAATTATTATGTGTACTCACACTTTGGCTAATGAAAAGTGTTTAGTAGCTTTTGAGCCTTAAGGTGTTTGTGAAGGAAAAGGAGTAGGTATAAACAGTTTAGAAGAAAGTTGTCAGAAGTTCTGTTTAGCTTATGTAATACATTATAATAAAAAATAAACCCGGGATATTATTGTTAAAACATGAGCACAAAAGATGTAGAAATATGCAACTCAACAACCTTAAGGCACAGGCTTTTAACCTAGACTTTAACTAATTGCGTAATCCTGCGGTTAATGCTTGTTTGTTTTATAGTGGTAAACAGATCTACTAATTATTTTCAGAGCAGCTTTTCTTAAAATGTTTGTACTAAATGATAAATGAACCATTAAAACACTCTTAAAGTCGTTAGCAACATTCTTAACACCTCTCTTAAACGTCGGCAATAAATCTCAAGTTCTAAATATGCTCCAAATGTTCTAATGGCTTCTGCTATTAGAATATTCCCTGTGTTTACTCACCTTAATTTAACATGATACATACTTAACAGATCCTTATTATTGTATGGATATGCTTATTCCTACATCTTTTATTCATATCCAATGAGCTTTCAAAAGTATTTTTCATCACACTTCTCAAACACACATTCTTAGAAACTGTCTTATATGCTGCTAATGGCTCTCCTCTTTCCCGGTAGTCTATTTTGCTGCCTAAATCTTGTTTCTTTTATTATCCTTCTTAACTGACTCTTGGTTTGGCTGCTCTATTCTATTCAGACAAAGCTAGCCTCCTTTTTGTGAGCGGTCTTCACACGCCATAGACACTGCATTCCCTTGACGTGCCAACAGTTTTCACCTTAACTCTCCTCTTCTCTCCCCGCTTTGTGTTTTATGGCATTGCTGCTGCCTCCTTGGCTAACTATAGAGGAATGGTTTAATCAAGGTGAGTGTGCTTTTTAGACTACACCTCCTTCACCCCTCTTTCTTCTCTCACCCCTTTCTTCTGCTTCTCCCAGTGCCCCCGGCTGCTGTAGAAAATAGTTAAAAGTAGTTTTGGCTCTCTTCCAAATAATCCAAGAAAGGAAAAAAATAACTTGGCTACAATTTTGGCACTTCAAACATGCAGCCTTTTGCCTTGCAGTCCCAATTAGAGGAAGTAAAAAGTTTAAAAATGTAATTGAAATGTTTAAACACATTTTCACTATTACAGAAATAAAGCAGGTCAAATATGGCAACAAACTAATAAATCCTCCTTATATTAGGACATATTTTTTAAAGTTGAATTTCTGTGTCCTAATATTCAAAGTACCAGATATCCCAAGGCCTAGTATGGAACTTGAAAGGAGATTTACAATGAATCAAATTACATGCATTTATTTTTTTTTTTGCATACTATACGCTCAACTCAGCAATGTTTTAAATTTAAATTTTAAATTCTTATACCAAAGATTTTATAGAATAGGCATATGCATATGCACGTTGGGGCCTAAACAACTTTGTCTCCTTTAAAGGCACACTATGTAACTTTTCTGTTAGTGGGTCTGTTACCTCCTCGTCTCCATGGAAATATTGTTGCTTTGACCAGCATTACATTAAACACATCTATCTACATGGAGACAAAAAAAAGTGACACCACCAAGCCAAGTTACATGTGTTAAGCAATAAAACCACCTTGAAAATTTGAGAAAATTCAAGATGGATACATTTATTGCTACTGTGGAACATTCCAGGCAAAGTTGGCAAAGAAATAACATGTCCAATGGAAAAAAACAAAAACAAATGGCAGACCCTGCACCAGAAAAGTTACACAATGCAAAGTAAAAGCTCTCAAAATAGATCTTAAAATTGAAAGTGTTTAGTATACCTTGACACTGTGCATAATTGTATTAATGTAGTGTAGCTTGGCTTGTTTCCTTCTTATTGTATTGTATTACACTGCCCGGAAATGTGACTTCCTCCTAAGTGTGGGGCTGGCCCTTCTGTCTGTCTCCCCCTCTCCCTCTTCTCTCTCTTGGGCATGTCCTTGTGCACGTGAGGAGACCATTATCTGGCTGCACCGTAGTGACTGGACCACCCCCCATCCTGCTCTGTGCCCCCTGTGCCTCTACATTATTCAAAGTGTTTGCCATCTCCGGAAATGCTTCTTCCTCTATACGACGTGCAATATATTGGAAATGGGACTGTGCAATGTAGATGTTCAATGCATTTGTCTATTGTACACCAGTGATTTGAAACTACATTGTAGAATATATCTGTGTCATATCTCTGTAGCTTTCTTCAGTGAGTGCATGCATCATTCATTCATATAGTAGCTTCATTCCTTGTGCTGTCTGTCAAGGCCAAAATTAGTCCGATGTCTTGGTAATTTTTCACATCACTACCTAAAATGCAAGATGGTATCTACAGGTAACATGTTTTTGTTTTCTTATTTCGTGTGGGTGAAGTTTTAATCTAGATTTAAGATAAGAAGTTTGCAGTTGCAGTAAACATGATTAAATTGCTAATGGATTTGTAATTTTATCACCTGGTACCTGTGACATAGAAAGCATACTTAATTATAATATTTTTTGAAATTAAAGTCTTTTTCCTTCTTGTTTTCTCTACACAGGAAGAAAAAATGGTGAAAACGACAAAAACTATGACACGTTGGATCTGCCCAAGCGCACCGAGCCAACCAGAGGTAGGCTGCGTGCTTCAAAGAAAGTTTTCTATAGGCTCTGTGCTCAGTTGTATTAATACAATGGAGGCATAAAAGAAAAGACAACAACAAAAATACTAGAAGGGCTGCCAGAGAATATGGGCCTGCTTTGTGTGGAATTCAAAGATACAATGGTATGTGGGAAAATGTATGCATTACTATCTGCAGGTTTACTTGGATGGAGCACTTGAATACATATATTTACTTGTTTTTTTTCACAAGGCATTTTCTTTGTTCATTTTAATCCAGCAAGTAAATTCATTGAAAACAAATTTTGATCATTTTCATAGACCTGTCACAATAATTACTATATCATCTTAATGTTCAGTATATGGTGGATGAAACAATATTTCTTAGCTCTCTCTTTTAGGAGGTTTGGAGGTTTTATTGCAGTGCCATAAGACTTGAGCTGTAGAAAGTTGAATTATAAACTAAAAATATACAATCTAATTACCGCACTGGAGTATAAGTCGCACCAGCCAAAAAATGCATAATGAAGAAGAAAACATGTTGCACCAGACTATAAGTCGCACTTTTTGGTGGAAATTTATTTTATAAAATCAGAGACCAGGAACCTACATTTCATCTTGAAAGGCCAGTTATAGTAATAACAACAGAACAGAGAACAACAGGATGTTGTATGAACAGTTATTACTAACTAGATAACTAGAGCATAAACAACAGAACATAGCAAGTTTACCAAACTCTCCATCTCACCAAATCACCAAATCTATTCAATTCTTCATCCTCAGTTGCTCAGATGTGACATCTGATCTGAGCAACTCTGCAACCTCCGGAGGTAAACAGAGCGCTGCTTCCTCTTCTTCGTAGCTGTCATCAGACTCAGGATAAGTTCCAGTTAGAATTATTCCAGCCTTTCTGAATCCCGGCAAGATGGTTTCAGTTATCTTTATGTTTGTTTAAATTTTAAATAGTCAGTGATACAGAAGTACTGGTGCAACCAGCTGACATGATACCAGACAGGACAGTGACTCTTTTTCTTCTGCAGCCGATATGCGCAGTAGAATGCAAAGTGACAGTGGTACAGGAGTACACAAGCCTAGAGCGCCCTCTCATGGCTGTCAGTGTGAAAATTTTAACATAAATTGCACCGAAGTATAAGTCACAGGACCACCCAAACCATGAGGAAAAAGTGCAACTTATAGGCCGAAAAATACAGTACCAAAATGGTGCATTCTGCTGTTTATCCATTGTAGCTCATGTTTTTAATAATACATTGTACATTTAGAATACTTTTTGGATAGTTCTGCTTTGTGTTATGTTTTAGTGTTATCATTTATCATCTACATTTACTTCAGCAATATATCATACTTCAAAATTTGTTATGGTGACAGGTCAAACTTCATTCAAAGCTATATTTAGGCACTATTGATTGTGTCTATCCAGTAGAATGAACAGAAGCACCTTTCATTGATTTTTATGGAGATTTATTTTTGTTATATAGGATTAAAGAACAATGCTGTGTTTCTTATGATTCTTCAGGCTTGTAAGCTACTTTTTGTTCACTCTGCGGCATTTAAATATCTGAAATAGCACTACAAGGTCCAAGGACAAGAGCTCTTTTCATATTATTGAAATTAATTCCATAACTACTCCGCTCTAGTTTATCTGCACTGTCCAAACCATTATGCAAAAATAGACTGGATTGTATATTGTACTACATTTGGACAACTTCAAATATCCATAACTCAATAGAAAGCATGTTTGGGGTACTGTCTTTTCTAATTTAGCTATATCCACTACAAACAGCCATAACTGCAACTATGCCAGATTTGCACCCAGCCCGCCCCGCACTGCCCAGCCCCTAATCCAATGTGTATTTACTTGTCTCGTGTGGTATTTACACTTCAGCTCCTCCATCAGCGTGTAGTGGCAGGCGCTCAAAGTCAATAGCACTTCCTGTCTGACTGCTAATTAGCCACATTAGCAGGGCAAAGTGGGCCCTCATTAGCCCACATCTCACACTTAGTCGCAGAGCTTTCCCCGAGTTAAGCTGATTTTGTACTTTTTATCTCTTCCCCAAACCGAAGCAAATCACATGGGCTTGATATTAGTCAGTGCTTTCCACAGGTTATCTGCAGATCAGGTGTAATGTTTAGAGATATTTGGACCTTTTTAGTGCGTCGGCTATCGGCCTTAAGTCTAGCATAGGCCTATATTTTGTTTTGGCTGATCTGCGCACAAATTTCTATTTGAACACTTTAGTGTGAAAAGATAACGGAACTTTCTCTTAAAGGTTTGTGGTAAAAAGGGCTGTAGTTGAGTCTGTAGTAGAGCTTATCGGCCATCGGTTTCTATGAATTCTAAACAATCAGGATCAACGTTGGCCATGAAAAGATCCTTTCTTTGTTGATCTGTTGATTTGTAAAAAGGCAGTTTAAGTTTATGATTCGCAAATTTAAGTAAGTCTTTATGTAATCAACTAATTGAGGCAGGACATGTCTTTGGGTAACCAAGAATTTTATTTGACTGCAGCCCTAATGTTTATTAAGAATGATTTAGCCTTAATAATTACCTCCCTAAACCTTAATCCGAAACTCTATTTAAGTCATTAATGAATAGTTACTTAAGTAGATCATGATTAAAAAACTATGTATTCATTATGAATTACGTTTTTCTTCATATTAAGATGTAATTATTATAAAGTGGTATAGATTTTCCATACATTTTTTTTACAAGATTGAAACCGATAAATTGTGATGATTAAACAGCTGGGCATCTCAGAAATTACTGTTCTTAAAGGTACAGACAATTTATTATTTATTATTACACACTCTCTCTCACACATACACACACACACACAACATGCTGGATGATGGCTGTCTTTGCTGCAGTAATTTAAGTGTAATTGCCCAGTTAATGTAAATTAAAATCTCCCAGTGCACCAGTTTGTCTTGTATGGTGCTACACATTAGGCAGGTGGTTGGAAGGATTTGCTGGATTTTTGTCTCTAGCCAGCATGAAATGGTTAGATCTATTAACTATAGAATATTGTGGTAACAGCATTGATTGGAAGTTTTAATCCCGAGGAAGCAATTATCATTAAGTCTAAATGTCACTTGAAATGTTTGCTGTTTAGTTTACCGCAGCTTTCCCTCACGCAGACAGGCCAATCATGTTTGACATTTATTAGCTTGGCAAACAAGTGGACAGCCGTAATGAGGGCAGAGATAATAGGTCTCATCACAATAGCAAAACCCCAAGTGCCTTTGAAAGTGCATTGATCATTTCTTTCTAGTGCTAGTTGCTCTCTTTATTCCTGTCTTGTGGCAATATCATCCAATTACAACAACATTGTTGTAGCGTTACATTATTTTTACGTTGTATGTAAAACGTAGACTATTGTACCAGAAACCAGAGTTGATATCTTGAAAGCTAGATTTTACTTTAACCTTACTCCTACAGGTCAAGAAAATTTGAAAAATATGCAATCCTAGTGAAAACGGGATTACCTCTCCACAGATCTTACCTGTAACTTGGCCTGATGATGTTAGCGTCCTTTCCATAAATTATAGTTTGATGCCATGCTGTGGAGCATGGAATATTCTTTTCAAAACAATACATTACTATGTTTCCTCACTCTGCTAATTAATTGTGAAAGCAGTTATATAAAGATAGATAAAATAAGTCTTCTACATTACTTTTCTATTGACTGTCAAGTCAATAATACAGTATTTAGGAATGTCACAACCACAATAATAATAACCACAAATCTGCCTGCCCCAACTAACTTGAACTAATTAAGATGCTTTCATAGGGAAGGGCATCTGGGTTAAATCCTATGCTAAATCAGTATACCCGTCACTGTATACTGGGAGGCAGATTTTGTTGTTCCCTCTTGATAAGTGAAAAGTCAAAAGAAAAGAAAAAAGAAAAGTGCCTGTGTCTATTTTGTAGTGAAAGTCAATAGGATGGATTTTCACCTTAAAAAAAATGGTTTTTTTGTGTGAGTAGCCACCGGTCATCTTCTTCTTTGGAGGACGGAGACTGTGCCGTGGCGATGGCCCTGTGAGATATTGGAGATTACATGTGTATCCAGGAGCAGATCTGATGACAGAGGGGGAGAGGGGTCAACACAGGCAGAGGTGGCAGCAGTGATTAATCTTTGGGTGTGTTTGGATTTAGGTGTGGGCCCAGACAAAGAACACAGCAGAGAAAATACCACCTGGTCTTGCTACTACACAGTGATAAAAACAATATTGTTTTGGCTTGTCATGGTATGGTCAAGTGAAGGTCAGCTACATCTCACTCTTCAACTTATTCCGGAGGTTGTCGTGGGTACAGCCATCGTAATTTAGGTTGTACTCTGATTACCAAGCCATTTTAGAGCCTAATCTGTGCACTGTTGACTTGTTGATGCATATGAAAGTTTTACACAAATGTCAGCACTACTCACAGTTGTTATGCAAATATATGGGCTTTAACTAACTACTGCACATTCTGATGCTCTGGATTTTGTTTGAAAATGAGTAAAATAAACTGCCTGTGAAGGTCTCTAGTGAATTCTATATTTTCTTGTGTCTTATTCCCCCTCATTAAATGGTTTTGGCCAAGCTTTGGTATTTCAAATATGCATTTTACAGATGAGGGTCAAAGAACTAATTTGCTATAAGTAAAAGTAAGATTAAATGGTGTATTAAAGATACATGCCCAAGTACTTCACAAGTCTGACATTTATTCAGTTAAGTTCTTCGGTGTGAAACTGCAGGTCACAAAGCAAAGTTTTGTGGTTTAACCTTTTTAGTGTGCACAATCATTTATTAACATTCACCATAAAAATCCCTTTATATTTTGAATTTTATAATACTAGGTTTTAACCTTTTCCAGAACCATTCTGCTTGAATTATAATGTTCTAAAATACTGTTCTAAAATAATACCATCAGCTGATGGTTGAGGGCATTGAAATTTTTGTTGACATAATTTATGTCGAAGTTGCGGGTTTTGTTCAGTTTGTTTTCGA